CATTGCGAGTTCAGAACACTTACGAAAATGGAACAAACCCGTCCCAAAGCCGCCATGTACCCTGTTGGGTCATCGTCTTGACCTTTTTTGTGTTCTGAAATGATTAAAGCTACACACGCTACGTCGTCGACCTTGACCGGAAATGGCTATGCGCACAATGTGGAGAGCTCGCGCCATTGGGGTCACCCTTTTCGTACGGCGCGGGCAACACTAAGGAGCGGGTTAACCCACCCCCCGCCTGCGTTAACACCCCTTTGCGGCGACAGTGTGCGGTTGCTAATTACAAAGCTATTAACCCACTTGCTTCACGGCGTCCAGCCGGCAACCCAAAATTGTCACCGATTGCACCTCCGGAAAGGGAGGCCCATTTCACTTAATTCAGCAAAGTTTCGTCGACAACATTCTTTTTTTTCATTGTTAATCGTAAAAAGGAAATGTCACAAATATCGCCAAACGCTCGACAAAACAAAATGACAGAGAAAAAATAAAATAAAAGAAGTAATCCCACACTGGGGATCGAACCGGAGTCGCTGCATAATGAAGCAGACACCTTACCACTAAGCTACGCCACCGCTTCGAAAACTCGTAAGAGTTTTGCATCATGCATATACATGCCTTGCACGTGACATGCTAGGGAAGGACGGGGCCTTGCGCCATGATGGTGGTGGACTTCACACTGCGCACGTGCGCTTACCAAGGCGTAGGATGCCGCCAACTGCCTCGACATGCACTGATGTGCACCCTAGTTTCATCAAAGGTACCTAGTTTTGTTAAGGCCTGTTCACACTCTTGCAACCGAGTGCGACCGAGAGACGAGACCTGTTGAAACCTCTTAAAATTTCTTAGGACGGGGGAACACACTGGCATTCTGGCGCCATCTATGCGGTGACCCTGGAACTGCATTTCACAAGAGCGATGGTTTTGCGGTATTTCCGAGGCCAAGTGTGCGTAATACCTATAAAAAAAGGCTCGTTTAACGTTCACAAAAGTTTTTCGAGCCTAGCAAGAGAGGATAATGCACGAGAAAAATAGAAAATATGCCGGACCGCCAAGTTTACACTGCTACCCAATACATGGCACCAGTGTGTCCTCTCGTAAGAGGTTTCAAGGCACCCAGTTCTGAGAGGTCACAAGTGTGTGAACGGGCCTTTAGATGTGAACTTGGAAAAACGAGCCGAGCTTAAGATGACGACGTTTAGCCAGTACATGCGGAACTTTTCGGCAATGGTGCGATTGCGCTACGAGCAGAAAATTTTGATACGCCGCCGACCAAGTTTTAACGCAAAAACCTGTTGTGTCGCAAAAAACAAAAAATGCACGGTGCAAAATCTGACGTGCGGCTCTAGGAGTCGCTTGTAGAAAAATTGTTACGGTTTTGCGAAGTACAGGTAAACAATAGAGAGTTTTAGTAATACGTATAGGGGCAAATGCAAACCCCCCAAGTTAACGTTGCGTCGACGGAACGTTACGGAGCGCGTCGAATACGCACTTTTAGTACAGCGGAAGAAGAACGCATATGTAAAGACTTGTAGCGCCATCTAGGTGTGCTCCTGTAAACTGCTTCAAACAATCCAAGGCGGGTATTCGGTCAAGCCAATCCAAAGCCAGATTCTCCTCGCTTTGTTACGTAAGTGCGTGTTTCCGTGTGCCTGTCGTGTACGTGTTGTCTTTTTTTTTTTTGTACCAACCGCACGGTAAACATCTTTTGGGTTCGACGGTGTCGCCAACGTTCTTGGCTATCGACACCCATCTTTGTGGGTGCTCGAAAGGGTTCGTCGCGTTGACTTCTTTGAGGAGGTTGATGTCATCTTTAATGGTAAAGCGAACCCATACAATGCGCGTAGCACTTCCGCTGGTTTGCCTCACCGCCGCCATCTTTCAAACTGGACCAGTCTCGCGCTCTCCCGTGCGCGACGAGAGCAACGAGATGGCATGCAGGGGACCGCTACGTACGTTCGCAAAAATCGATAGCGAGCGTACGTACGCAAGGCTCGCCGCATTACGTATGTATGGCGCATGCACAGTGTGGAGGACGCAACGTTAACGTATGGGGTCTGCGTTTGCTCCTATACGTATTACTAAAACTCTCTAATGGCAAGGTTAGTCATAATCCAGTGATGTGATTGGCCTAAGCCGTTTTGGAGCACCTTTTGGAGCAGCCAAAATAGTGTTCTGGCGCAGGAAAAGTGCCCTTTGGAGCAGCCAAAACAGTGTTTAGGAGCAGCAAAAGTGGCTTTTGAAGCAGATTTTTTTTTAAATAAAAATAAAGATATTTGTTTTAAGTGCTGGAAAAAGGAAGGGCACTTTGCTCGCCACAATAAACAAATTATGGTCAAGTTAGACGACCTGGGAGTCTTTCAAGTTGTTAACTGAAATGCCAATGACACAACATATTTTGCAATGCTTCAGTTAAATGATACATATATATATGTACCCGCAATAGATAAGAACCAAATTGCACATATTAAATTTATTTGAAAATGACCTGCTTAGCAGTGAATATGAAAGCATAAACTTTACTAGTTATATAATATAATAAATGGAAGCAGTATCCAACTGATGAAACACGTAACTACTGCAATGTAATACGAAACTGTACACATGGAAAAGGGTCAGTACGACTGGTGGGTGCTTTTCCTTTTGCTTGTTGAAACTTTCTGCAAGGCTGCTGCAAGCCTCGCTTAGCTTTCGGCAAGTAATGAATGTCCACTTTCAATGTCTCCAAAGAGACATTGAGACATCCCACAAGTGTACAGTGCTGTAGGCGTTGCCGAGCAATTCCAAAACGTCTCCCACCGTTTTACTGGTTCCCGACAAGCCAGATTTTCGTCAGAAGCAAGCAAATGTAAAGCAATGGATTGCAGGCGTCCTGGCTGGTACCTCTGTCGTGCAACCATGTTCGCGTGCACATGAGGGCAATTTCGTCAGCTTGCAGTTGCACGCGCTTCGTTATCTGAGCGAAGACGGCTGTTCGATCGAAACCGAAACTCTGCCACTCCGCACCGTCGCCATCTGGTCCCCAAAATTGCATGCAAAATGTAACAATCCAGCATAAAAAAAAAGAAAAACAGTCCAGCGGCGCGTGCTTGCCAGGCCAGTATGCGAGGCACAACCTAATTTAAGAGGTTAAAAAGCGCAAACAAAACAAGGACAATAAAGCTAATAAAAAAAAAAAGAACCTGAGTGGATCAATGCAAGACATCACGAGTCAGGGTCAAAAAGTTCTTGGAGCGCTTTGTGGAACAACTGAACTCAAGATAAACAAGCGCGCTGTGCGGGTTCAGCGTGCAGACATTGCCTTTTTTGCTCTAGCTAACTTGTCTTAAACTTTTTTTTTGCGACGGACTTTTCACGTACCGGGGTCCCTCTCAAAAGAAATCCCACAGAGAGAAACCTAGGTAAACAGTACTTCGACACAACAGTCTTTGAGCTAGAGGGATCTTTGTAGTAGCGTTTAATTTAAACAAGGACAGGATTGCTGGTTACCCTGCAGCGGTCCTTGTTTCATTTTAGAAAACGCCATATCTGCAGCAATGTGTGGACGGGAACACCCGACGTGATAACCACGGCGAGTGGTAGGCAGGGACCAAAAATAGTTTTGCCACGGCCGTCTCTTTCAGAAGAGAGTGCTTCAGATCACAAGTAACCCCCAATGCGGAAAAACGTGGTTACGTTTTACAACATGACGGCATGGCTGGTAACCGGCAAGCTAGCGTCGGGGCGTCCATATAGGCTTGCATCTATCGTTAAAATATTTTCAACAGGATGGGAGACGAGACCCACGAGTGCGCGAAATGAGAACGGCGGGAAAAACCGAACGAGACGGGATGGACGATTGATGCAGCATACTTTGTCAGGGGGATTGCTTGCGCCACCTAGCTCACGCATGCTCAATTACGGTACTCAGTTTAGTTTCGGTTTTGAAAGGCGACCGAAATTGGTCCTTTGGCGCAGGCTTGGCGCAGATTACCCATATTTCGGCGAAATGTAGCAGGATGTAGCAGGGTTAGCCCCTTGGCGCAGTTTGGCGCAATTGGCGCAGCAATCACATCACTGATAATCTGAACACTGATGCAAGGATCAATAAAATCACGGCCAAGACAAATCTCACTGGCTTAGTGCTTATCTTATGATGTTTCCTAACCGGCCCGCCTGCATAGTTTGACTCCCTGCAAAGGTCTCGCGGACGGCACACACCGATGCCCCGGCGAGCTTGCAACGGGGGCCGACCGATGGCCGTCTGGCCGGGCCGCGACACTCGCCCGTACTCGGCCCCGAAGTTGCGCTCGAAGCGCGGAAACGGCCTGATGGAACGAAAGGCAAAGGGCACCACGAACGAGCCGATGCAAAGGCGACCGTAACCAGCGCTGGAAAGGTGCCGTCGCTCGACGCTACGAAATGCGTCCCGCAAACTCGGTAATCCCACTGCTCGTACTGTGTCTACTTGACGGCTGCTCTGTAGCGGGGCATGCCGACGAAAAGATGGTCGGGACACGTAGTAACTGCTACAGAAGCGCGGCTGTTGACCATTGCTCCCAAGGGCCGTCAAGTCAACCAGCACCGGCATTCGACGTAATCATATGACGTAGGTCACACGACGTAGAGCGTCCTCTACGCGCCGTACAATGAATCGCCGTAGTGCGTCAAAAAGACGATGGAAGGCACTTCCGGAATCCAAGGCTGAAGCCATGCGCTGGTTTAGACAATCAGCTGCACACTTTTTGCCAAATCGCTGACAAAGAGCACGCTGCAAACAGCTAGACCGCCACAGATGCCAGGAACAAGTGTTTCGAGCCCCTGTGACCTTCGTGCCGCATTTCTCGGAAAACGGTACCAAAGCTTGTTTTACGAGCGGTGCCTGGGAACTGGGAGGCCCTGGCGTGCTCGTACCACCGCAGTCCCAAGGGACGGCAAAGGCATTCGAGCTCAACAGCCCTGTAGCCAAGTGGGACACCCGAACGTGTTTGGGCGGGCCGAGGCCGGTTCACGCGGTGCATTACCTTGCTGTCGCGCTCCAGCTCGCTCCGTAACCACTCGAAGTCACTGTAGCGCCTCCTCACCGTAGACTCCTTGTTCTTGAAGACGGGCAGGTTGGTCTGAAACGAGGGACCCTTTGAGTGCGTGCGGGGGCGTCGCTGCCGAGTCTCCCAAAGAGACGGCAGCCTAAGCCTAACTGCGGCGGGGCGTATTGGCCACCCACCCGCATCCGCACTTCGTAGTCCGTGTAGCGCTTCCTGGCCACGCCGTGGGTCATCGGGTTGCCCACGTCGATCTCCAGGTAGTTGGCCGGTGGCGCGTAGGCGTCGTCCAGCGTCTGCTTCTTGGTCTGGAGTCGCTTGGTGGCCTCTTGCGGGGGCACGTCGGTAGCCGCCATCCTCCAGCGAGGGGTGTGCTTCTCTCGCCGACGACCGCTGGCAGCAGGCGTCAGGCGTCAGCTGCGTCGGCTCCCCACTGTTGCCGCTGCAGTTGGCAAGCTGGGCTATCTTCAGCCGGCAGACGGTTGAGTCAGTCAGTCGGGTCGGTCGGGTCAGTGCCTCGTTACACTAGCTTCTCTCCAACAGGTGTCCACCACTGATCTCGGACTACTTCCAAAACCGACGCGCCCCATCGCGGCGAAATACTGCGCATTGCACTCTGGGAACTAGTTGGCCACTCAGTTTCGGTTTCGACTGAGCAGCTTCATCTCATGCTATCACGCCGCGACCGAACGCGCTGCTTGCCTTTTCGGTTATCTGACTTTTCACGAACGTACAATACCTCATTCTCGAGCGATACAAAACGAAGACCGGGGCACTTTCCTTGGTTCCCGAAACACCGGATATTGTGCGTGCGTATGCGAACGTAGTAAGTCGTGGCTTTGTCACCTCACCCCACGAGTGCATGTTTGAGCTCAATTTCAATAATCCCGTTTAGTACCAGTGAACTACAACTGAAATTTGGTCACCTTGAGCCCTGCACGTATTTTGTTTGCCAAACGTCCATTTCTTGTTACTTCATTGGGCGAAAAGCAAGCCGCATCTTCACACGATTATCAAAATTTGAGCCCAGCGTTGGCGCGTAAACTTTTAAGGAGACGCAATAAATTCGACCTCACTACTGCAGAATATTACTATGATGTCTTCCTCGTGTCATCATATATCTCCCACTAAAATTTTATGCTGATAGAAGATTAACTTTTCGTTAACGCTGAGATCGGCTAGCTACGACGGAGGCCCTAACAAGCGTCCCCTACTCCTCGCTAAGCCTTTTTGCACGAGTTTTTACTGACGCTCAAGATATGTGCCTCAACGGTGTGTCTGAAATTATCTCGGCATATTCAGGCAGAAAGAAAACAAACACATAACAAATATTATGGCCATTAGCAACCGTCAAACGCGCTTTGAATTCGTTCGAGCACTTGTGTGAAGAATGTCGCACCGTGCGCCGGACGGGCGTGAACCCCTATGCGGTGCGCATAGGGGTTCATACCCGTCCGGCGCACTTCCGGCGAACGGTGCGACATTCTTCACACAAGTGCTTGACCTTTTCTTTCTTAAAACGGTCTGTATGTGCGAATTCGCATTGCAGGATAACTCTATGCGCATACGCGATGTTGAATATTAGTGGAAAGCAAGCGGGTGGGGACTTCACTTCGTGCAGTGCTGCGGGTCAGTAAGAGATAAGAGGTGCACGTGTTAAATGGAGCTTTTCAGTGGCGCCTCCAAGGTTTACCTCGCATACTCAGGCATATTGATAAAAACAGTAATTGCAAAACGTAATATTTCGTCTATGGACGCACAAAGCAAACAAACTTCCTGATCAACAACACTAATGTAAAGGCGCGAGCTCGATGTATGCGTACTAATTGGTTGCTACAGCTTGTTGATTCGTTCACAAGCAAGATCCCCGAGCTTCGCAGCGTCGAGATTCCCAGCACTGGCCCGTCCACATACCTTGATTGGAACGCTAACAGGAAGGCTCAAGTACAAAAATACAACAAGCATGTGTTAAGACAAGCTATACGTCTCAGGCTTGTGCTAAAGCTTCGAGGTCTGGCAATTTAGGTTAGTTTAGAGACCACAAATGACGCTCTCGGGACCAGAAAACGATCTCTTGTTGACGTGTCGATCGAAACCGAAACCATGCCACCCTCCTCCCTGGCCAACTAGTTCCCTGCGTGCAACGCGCGCCGTGTTGCATGCAGGGCTTTATGGAAGTAGCCATCTTTAGGTAGAGTCACTGATCTCTATGTCTATTTGCTGGATCGCGTTTGACCAGCTCCTCCTATGGACCGGAAGCGTATTTTGAAATCCTACCCATTACAGGGGGGCGGAGCCAAGGAAAAAAGAAAAACAAACAAAACAAAACTATGTCGGCTCCTATTGGTCCACGTGACTATGACGTCATTGGCTGTTCCCTTTAGCGGCAGCAGCCCCTTTTTTATTTTTGTATTGTTTTAATTACAAATGCACTTTAATAGACACTTGCGCGAGGTGCAATAATAGTTAAAATAGTTAGCGATGCTTTTAATTAGGGACAAAAGTCGTTGCGCTAGCATTAAATAGCGTCCAAAGATGCGATTGCACGGCCGAGACGACGCGGACGGGCGTGTTTACGCTGATGTGCGCGCGGGCTTTATCTCGCACGCTTCCAAAGGTTTGTGGTTTCTAGTTTATGTAATTGTGTTTTTATAGTCTCGAGCATCTCCGCGCATTGAAACACGCCGCACTCCAGAATGCCAGTGTCAGTTTGATGGAGGCGATACTGTTTGTATTGTACGCCGAGCTACTGAAGCCTTTAAGCCTAGCTGGAGAAAAGACGATTGACTTGTTTGCGTTTAAAACGTGAAATGTCGTGTTCGGAAGGTACGTACGTACAATGCCAGACCAGCTGAACCAGTCCCACACGAACAGTTGTTTAGACTGGTGCTCGACCGCGAGAAGCGCACATCCGAGATACTGCCTACGATAGCAGCCAACTTCGCTGAACTCCGAGACATGTCGGAAGGATTCCGCACCGCGGGAGACTGCAACGCCGAATCTGTACCGAGGAGTCGTACAGGTTCGCTTGCGAAGGACCTTCACACGGTTATATGCGAAATATAAGATAGTCGCACCTTAGGGACACTTATCTAAGCTTTGGCATGCTATTGCAGCTCCTTGAGATGGTAGAGACTGCCGGTCTCGTCCAGCTCTGCAGCGACCCCACATACCGGTCAGCTGCCGGCAATGAGTCACGACTTGACCTTTGTTTCACTACAAACCCTACCCTTGTATTGGACTGCTACGCACAGGAAAGTCTGGTCGGCTGCGACCACAAGGCTATACACATTGAATGTTACACGTCTCTCCCCCGCCAAGGACATTTCACCCAAATGATATACCGGTATGGAAAGACGGATCTCTCCCACCTACGCGCGCTCCTTCACCTTGCCCCCTGGTCGATGGTGCTGTCTGAACCCTCTACCCACGAAATGTACGAGCTCTGGACTGACTTTATGACTGCAATCCAGACGGAATGCGTTCCTCACTCGCCAGCCTCGAAGAAAAAGAGGCCTCCGTGGATCACCACAGACATTGTAAAACTTGCAAGACGAAAGCGCCTACTCTTCAATCGTGCTCGAAAGCGACACTGTACATCTAGCTACGTTGAAGCGAGAAGTTTGCAAAAAGACATAAAGAGGCTGGTACACATATCTCATCAGGAGTATGTCACCAGCATTGCAGCCCGAGCAGCCAAAGAGCCCAAGCTGTTTTGGGCCTACGTCAAATCCCAAAGAAAGTCCTCTTCACCTGGCCACCCAGTCTTCAAACACAACCAGAAACTTGTATCAGACCCCCCCACTATAGCCTCTCTGTTTAGTGAACACTTCTCCTCAATTTGGTCTCCCCACATGACTTCCGCCTCACCTCTACCCCGAATGCCTCTCGTACCTCCCCAAGCCTCCCCCTCCCACCCAGCTAATCCCGAGTCGTCCCCTCCACCTGGAGCCTCTCTGTCATCCCTATCCATTACCGAAGAAGACTTGGAAGAATCACTGTCCTCCCTTCGCCCAGCACAGAACCCTGGACCAGACCGAGTGCATCCTGCTTTTCTCCAGCTCTCCGCCCCTCTGATCAAGCCCATCCTGATCCACATGTTTCAACGCATAGTCGACTCTGGCACCGTACCTCTTCAATGGAAAAGATCCATCATAACACCCATCCACAAAGGTAATGGACTTGACACCAACAATATTGATTCGTATCGCCCCATCGCCTCCACTTCAGTCGTGAGCCGCACACTGGAAAGAATAGTAAATACAAAAATCCTGAACCACCTGGAGGACAATGGCTTGCTAAATCAGGCACAACACGGATTTCGAAGGGGACGCAGCTGCGACACTGCCTTGGCAGTAGCAGTTCACATGCTTAGCTCACACCTAGACCAGCGCATCCCTTGCCAACTAGTACAATTGGATTTTTCAAAAGCATTCGATCGTATCGACCACGCACTTCTCCCTAAAAAACTCCAGAAAGTGGGGATTGAGGGTTCCTTGGCCAACTGGCTAATGGACTTTGTCAGGAATCGAACCCAGCGAGTTGCCTTCCACGGTCATCTCTCGTCACCCTGTACTGTGCTCGCCGGTGTGCCGCAGGGCAGTGTGCTTGGCCCTACACTTTTCTCGCTGTACATAAACGACATCACCGATGGACTGAAATCTAAGGCAATACTGTACGCAGACGACCTCTCTCTGATACAACCAGGAATCTCTAAGGACGCAGTCACCTCCCTTCAAAACGACCTCGATACCTGTTACAGGTGGTCCGTAACACACAGCCTCCCACTAAACCCTACAAAATGCCTTAGCATGACAGTCAGCCTGTCCTTGGCTAAGCCCTCACACTCCCCACCCCTTGCAATAGGTGGCACCGAACTCTCTCGTGTCACTCACACAAAACTGCTCGGAGTCGCGTTCGATGAGCGCCTCGATTTTAGTCGCCACATCCAGGGAACTGCTTCACGTGCGAGGCGGACACTGGGTTTCGTCACCCAAGTTACGCGCGGCATGCCAGCCGCACCACTCAGGCACCTATACACGTCGCTGGTACTCCCGCAGCTGGAATTCTGTTCTGCTATCTGGGACCCCCCCTCAACAACGCATAAGAAATCTCTCGAGTCCATACAGCGGAGGGCAGCCCTTACGCTGTACCGACGAGATTCCCCCTCGTCGCACCACACTGCCGCCAGAGATATTTCCACTACCAGACTCCTGCAGTACGCCCAGTGGCGGACTCTGCAACACCGCAGAGATGTAGCCTCGATCAGGCTCTTCTGCCTAATGATGGGTGCTGGCCACCCTGACGTGCCTTCCCCACCTCGCCTCAACAAGCGAACTGGCCGACTACAACCTCCACTGTCGCGAACTTTGCGCCACAAGACATCGTGCCTAATGCGTGCTGCAGAAATTTGGAGGTCACTCCCACACCACCTCACGGAGTCAATCCCCTGCAACCGAGACGACATCCGCGAGTTGTGTAGAACAGTTACTCGGACAATAGCATAATCACCGGTGTGTGTGTGTGTGTGTGTGTGTGTGTGTGTGTGTGTGTGCGCGCGCGCGCGTGCGTGCGTGAAAAAACTTTTTTTTGTTTTTTTTTTTTGTTTAGATTAGTTTTTATAAGAACTAAAATAGTCTTCATAGCGCCGTCCGGTTGGTGAAAGGGGCACAATGTGTGTATGGGCGCACGCCTTTCCCTCCTCACCTGCACACCGAACGGCACCACAAACTTTTAAGTGCAATAAAGTACTATCACTATTGTGAAGTATCACAAAATCTGCAACTTCAAAATTTGTTTCTGGAAAAATGCGTGTTGACTGCATATTTCCTGAAACAGTGCAACCTCGTTTGAATATTTCAACCTACCTGGGCCTTCACAGGCATGAAGCAGTCTCTCAACACGAACAATGACCCTCTTGTCACCATATCAAATGAAAAACGAGTTGGCTGGACCGTTATAGGGTTGAAAAAAGTGTATATTTAGAAAACAGTAAAAATATATACAAATGTGCAAATATACTTGAATCCTCCTCAGTTTGTGTGGACTTGATTTTCCGGTTCTCTTCACCGGTCTTGTCACCGTCTCGAAGCTCCGGCAAACCAGCTGTTCACCTGCTTGGTCGTCGAATCCAGGTGCTCTAACAGTGGCACCTGGATTCATACACTTGCGGGCACCTACCTATCTTAAAATGGCAATGCCTCGGGCACCTGCCAGAATTAAAGATAGTTGGGTGGGTTCCTTCAAGTCGCTGCCAAGAGTTGCTCCTGCCGGTGAATTATCATTCCAGCTTCTCGTCTGCAGGTGCCCCGGGGTCGCCGCCGAGAATTCCCGCAAGGGCCTTAGGTCATTACAGAGTTTGTCTGGTTGTCACTGAAACACTCGTCAGGGTGATCATCGGAGTCAACTTGCACGGGACACGCCAAACTCTGCTGTTCAACCCTTGCCACTAGCTGCTCGCTCCCGGTTGGTTCGCCTCTCCTATTCCTGGCTGGATCCCCTTCACCAGAATTTAGTTGCACTAAATTTCTCATGTGGCATGTTAAGTATTCTGTACACAGTTTCCCAGTCACATCACTTTGTAGCCCTAAATAATTGTGTTGTGTGTGTTTAGGCTGCCAGAAGTTATTCAGCCTCAGTGGGCATCAGGTGTCTCAGCTGTAGGGGAGAAATGTAGCCAGTGCAGTACCCCTGCAAGCCTAGGGTCTTTAACGACCCTAGGCTTTAGCGAAAGCTCTGCAGCGCGAGCTTTCGCTCCATGTGCTCCGAGCTGTTGTGCGCTACTCCACTCGTCCACCAATCCCCCTCTTTTAGCTTGTCTTACTAAACTGACTGACTGCAAGCTCATTTCCATAAAAAATATCAACATGTGTTCACATTTGAGATAACAAAAACAATCTCTAATTTTAGCAGTAGCCTGCATAGCGTTCGACATCCTATACTCCTGGCTAAAATGTATGTTCTACCACTTTTGCAGTTGTACACTGTTAGTGCAGACAGGACACCTGTGTTATTTCACATTTTACTCAAACAGGGTATGGGCAAGCATAAAACATTTACCGCTTCAATTGGTTACCTGAATGATCATTCTCCGCCATACTGTAGTCGTTTAAATGACAGCCTCACAACTTAAAATACGAACAAAAAAAACCAGCTCTTGCTTGTTTGTGCTGTGTTGCACCTGTGTTGCCATCCTCGCATAAAGCATCATGTTTATAATGTATGTCGCTGTCATCTTGCGTCTCCATTTGTTTCTCTGGCCAACCGACATTCATGAAACACAGCTGAAAAGTCTTGTCTCCTATTTCCTCTCGCTACTTCTGTGACTCGCAATGGTTTAACAGTGTATGAAAGGGGTGGGGCAATGATTTTCATACTTTGGCCTACTAACTGCAAGAACTAATCTGTGTCACTTATAGAATAAAGAACATTCCTGCGTGCGCTAGTTCTTATTTAAAAAAATTAAACAAATCAAAGGTGAAAGTGCCCATCAACTCTCACGTCGTCTTTCAAGTGACGTCTCTGGGGGCCACCTGGCTTCCTTTTGTGTTCTCCCTCACAAACCCCAGAAGCTTCCTTTGCAATTGTCGACTTTTCAAAGATAAGCATCGCCGCAGGTCGTGGCAAGCGATCGACACAAAGGACAGTTTGTCACGGGGCTGCTGGCCAGTGTAGCAGGAGAGGGGGACAGGTTTTGTTGACTTCCACGAATACACCAGTGACGTGCCAGGGTAGGTGCGGTGCAAGCTACATGCTCATTGGACCAGTCATATTTAAATCTTTCACCATGTAATTACGCGTTCATTCATGCCCACACTCAGAGAGTGGGGTGAGGTGATGAAAGGGAGGTGGTTGATGGGTTCGGAGAGCGCATAGCTCCCACATCACTGACAGCTTAGGAGTGAACAGAGTATAGAGTACTTTCTGCTAACATATCTCCTTATTCTTCAAGAGCCATGTCACTTCTTCATTCCTAATTACTGAGAAACTACTCAATGTTAATAGGTTTATAAATCTACTTGCTAAGCTTTGATCGTTAAACCTTGAAACAATTTTTGAAGTCCTAGGCACAAAGACGGCCCAACCTTGATAACGAATGAAGTCCATGAACCGAGATGTAAGTGTTACAAAACTTCAATTACAGTCGTGAGTTTTGTATTCACCATGGGTATGCCACATTTAAGTGCATTCCTAAATGTGGGAAATGCTTATGTAGTGCCCTCTGCAGTTTTCCATCACTTAGGGACTGTAGCTTGCTTTCTCGTCAGTTGTGTTTTGCTCTCGTGCAGCTTTCCAAATGGACGACAAAGTAATGTGGTTGTAGGTTTAGAAAATATATTTGGAATAAAAATCGCCTCAAACCTTTCTAAATGCTGCAAGTTCAAGCTCCTATCTTTTTAGAGGCACTCTTAACAGTGAGCACCTTTTGACAAGTTCTTTTTGGTAAATAACACCAAACTTGTGATATCACAAGAAATACAGTAGACTCTCACTAATTCAAACTCTAGGAAGCTGCGACTTTCGTTTGAATTATCAGAATTTTATCTAAATATGATGCAAGATAAAATTATGATTTGCCATATGAATGGCTACACACAGAAAGCAGATATATTTGATGATTTCCTCTACACAGGCCTACTGATCATAAGCAGGTATGCCAAAATTGAAACATTTGTGAAATGTATGACATAGTTTATTTATACCTTGCAAATGTTATTTGTCGTGGACCGTTAGACAGCACATGACAACTCAAAACAAAATTAAGCTTGTTCATTGGGCCAAGAAGTTGTCTAATACGAACTATTAAGCAGGGGACACACAAGCGATGAGAATGGGCACCGCGCAGCAGTTTTCATAGCAACTTGCACAGACGCTGTGATGTGGACCTATGCGATGCCGCAGCGTCCGCTCAAGTTGCTATGGAAATTTTCGTGTGATGCCCGTTTTCATAGCTCATGTGTGCCCGCTTGAGCCCCGTTGAGTGCGCTTCTCACCAAGCACTGGTGCACTGGGGGAAGAATCGCCCGCGGAAGCAAGAGCGGTATATAGAGAGAGTTTGGTCAATGGGGGAAGCGGAAAGAGCCAGGTTGTGCACCAGACGCAGACAGAGGGCTTGACATGCTCTCTTGGCCAACCAGAAGCCGAAAATAATTTCCTAGTGGACCACCACTAGGGGATTATTTTTGACTTTTGGTTGGCCAAGAGGGCATTTCAAGCCCTCCATCTGTCCGGTGGACGCCAAGTGCGTAAGAATTATATATAGTAATTCTTCATTGTTCAAAATATGGTGCACGTGTTGTTTCGATTATGATCATGGAAAAAGATTTAAGAAACGAATGTGCCACTCAAACCAGGGCTGGATTAAGGTACGTAGCTAAGGGGGCTGCAACCTTGGGCCCTGGGCTCTCGGGAAGACCTGTGCTGGACCTTAAAACTTGTAAAAAGAAAATTGTGTTTAATTTACTACAGTTCAGACCAAGAGCAGAAAAAACACTAAGAAGTGCCTCTGGCGTTTTGGCCTTCTCGTTCCCTTCCTTTTTCTTTTTCCAGCAGGGAGATGGGCATACTATGAAGTTCCAGTCTTTAGACTAGCTGGCATTTGTGAGGTTGTTATACAAGAGCGTGCCAGGTCAACAAAAGTAAGGTCGCCTCTCATGCCCCTTGTCGGAGGGTGAAGCTGTCGACGCCGACGGTCACCTTGAAGTCTTCTAATTTAAACTCAATAAAAAAAAAAAAAAACATAAGTTTTTTTTTTTTTTTTTCTTGCATTGTTTACGAACAATTGGCTGTTGGAAGTTAAGCAAGTGCTGTCAAAAACTACTCGAGCAGTACGCATGATACACATTTTTTTGCAACCTTTTAGCGAAGTTGCAGCCCGTCGACATTACTGCATTTAGAAGGAACAATATTATGACTAAAAATGATTGAAACATTTTCCCCCTTAAAAAAGACAGCGTGTGGGTACAAGAATTCGAAAATATCTCCTCGATTTTCATGAAAATTTTTTTGAATGAGTGCTACTGGCTTGATTCCCCTCCCAAAAGGAAAGAAAAATATTTTAGCCGTTTCAACTATTGGAATATTTTTTTTCTGCCTGTATAAATCAAGCAGAAGTTCTAGTCAAACAAGTGAACGGGGTCACGATCTTCAACAGAAATTCTTTAGTTTCCTTTACGGAGCTGCTGGATATGACCAATTGTCACAGGTTTGCTGATATTCTCTGTTTAAACACAAAGGACTGCCGACCAGGCGATAGGTCCACGCCTCGGTGGAGTCTTGCCAATGAAGGGGAGACCACAGTTTTGCAACGAAACGAATTTAATACTACAAACAAAACAAAAGAAAACACAATAAAGGTAAACAAGTGCCGAGCTGCGAAAGCAACAGGACTCGAACGCACTTCACCCGGCCGGTGCACGGGCGGCGAAGATAAATCACTCAACGCACAACGAATTAGGCAAAACCCAAAGTCTACCGCTCAATACAATGCAGTAACCATCTCTTACGCGGGAGCTTCCCCGAACATGGAAAAAAAAAATAACTTCGGAGCTTAAATGTTATCAAATAATACAATCGGACACCCGTGAGAATAAAAACCAACTACAGAGATACCGCTTCCTTAATTACTATAAAGAGGAAAGTGCGAGTGGAGGGGAAATCTCGTCTCACAGTGTCCGGGAGTGGCGGTCTTGCGAGGCGCTGTCCGAAGGGGGAAGGAATGGTCCCGGTGGTACCACGGTGGGTTGGGCGGCTTGAAGCGGCCACACAATCACACACACACACTTCGCCGTCGAAGTCTTCCCCAGTCCGGACCTGGCCCGCTACCGTTGAGCTCCACGGACTCGGCGCTTCGATTCCCCGCCTGTTGCTTCCGAGTTTCCCGCTCACACTGCTCGCCTTTGCCCCAAAGAGTCCCCCTGGACGGGCCCCCGCATTCCAGCACGCAGGCGTGGAAAACAAAACAAAAAGAAACCAAACCCCAGGACGCTGGCACGCTGGCCCGCTCGTCCCTTCATCCTCCCCCAAAGGGAGCATCGCTTCGTTTTCGGGGGCGCTGGGTCCCAGACCTCACTCCCCGCGAATTTCTTGGAAGGACGCGTCTGGCCCGGGAGAATGGATAACGTAACACAGTCGGATTTTGTAACATGAATAACGTAACATAGCCGGATTTTGTGACACTGCCCCTCACTTAAGAAGATTCACCCGTGAATATTTAAACTAACTCTTCACAAAAACTCGGCTAACAATAGCGCACAAAAGAAAAAAAAAAATCAAGAGTACATATACTAAGCAAACCAAACTGCGCCCCGTATGAGATAAGCCGTGCACATTCCAACAGTGGGAAGTTTTCATATTCGGAGGATACAAACGAAGTACGGAGTAAACATAACATACATATATTGGCTTAATAGAGAAAAACAAAGCCTCATTAGTGAGGCGGACTTACAAGCGGCTTAGGAAATCAGCGCCCACATTTTCGCTGCCCTTGATATGTTCGATAGTGAAAGGAAATTCCTGCAAGAGGAGGCTCCACCTCAGCACTCTACTGTTCAGCTGCTTCGCCTGATTGATGTACTTCAGCGGCTGGTGGTCGGTTTGTACGAGGAATTTCCTACCGTAAAGGTATGGACTGAATTTCTGCACTCCCCAGACCAATGCCAAGCACTCCCTTTCGATTGTGCTGTAGGCGGCCTCACGAGCAAGCAGCTTCCGGCTAGCGTAAGCCACCGGATGTAAGCGGCTGTCATGCTGCTGCATTAACATAGCTCCGAGACTTGTGTCGGAAGCATCGGTCCTGAGGACGAAGTCTTTTCCAAAATCTGGGAGTCTCAGGATCGGCGGATTTGCGATCCGTTCTTTCAGCTCGTCGAACGCCGACTGATGAGCGGTCCTCCACTCCACCTGGTTCCTTTCTTTTTTCTTCGTGAGGTCCGTTAGCGGCCCACTGATCTTTGCGTAGTCGGGAATAAAATCCCGGTAGTATCCCGTCAGTCCGAGGAACGCCCGCACCTGGCGCTTGGTGGTCGGCACACTCGCCTTCTCGATTTTGTCGAGCGTCTTTCCGAGGGGGGCGAGCTGTCCCTTTCCGATGCGGTGGCCCAGAAAGTCAATTTGTTCCATCCCAAACTCGCACTTGGTTGGGCGAATGGTCAGTCCCGCTGCTTGGATACGGCCGAACAGTGTCTGCAGTGCAGTGAGGTGTTGCTCCCAGCTGTCGGTAGCCACCAACACATCGTCGTAGTAATGGGCCACGTCTGGGATTCCATCCACCACCTTCCGCATCAGTTTGGCAAATACCGCCGGAGCGGTCTTGACCCCAAACGGCATGTACCGAAAATGGTACAGTCCCGAAGTCGTCGAAAATGCGGTCTTGGGCTGGGAATCGTCGCTGAGTGGGATCTGCCAGTAGCCCTTCACGAAATCCATCTTTGAGAAGTAGCGTTTGTTTCCGACGGCGGCGAAAACGGCGTCGACTCGTGGCATGGGTTCGGAGTCTGGAACTAAGACGCCGTTTAGACGTCTGAAATCGACGCATAGCCGATTTGTTTCGTCCGGCTTCTTGACGAGCAGGACGGTTGCGTTGTACGCAGAGCTGGATCTTTCTATTATTCCGAGCCTGAGCATTTCTTGCACCTCTTCCTCAACCTTCGTGTGGGTCGCAAATGGCAGTGGGTATTGTCGCACATAGATGGGGGTATCTGTAGTCTGCTTCAGCTCGCACTGTATCCATGTGGTTTTTCCCGGAACGTCGGAGAAGATGTTCTCATGGCTGCGCATTACGCGGTCGAGCTGTGACTTTTGCTCAGCACTAAGCTTCGATGAAACTTTCGCGTCTCCGGGGCCCTCCTCTCTCTGGAATGCTGGTAGAGGGATCGGCTGGTCATCTTCGGTTTCCGTCAGTGAGAGAACCGCGCAGGCCTGTCGCTCGTCTTCCTTCTCGATTCCCCGCTCCTCGTATTTCTTTAGTAGGTTAGCGTGGAACAATTTCAGGCCGGTCGCGGTCTGGATCTCGTAGTCGACCTCTCCTGTTTTTCTCGTAACGAGGAAGGGCCCCTTCCACTGCAGCAGAAGTTTGTTGTTGTCCGTGGGGAGCAGTAGGAGCACCTTCTCTCCCGGCTGGAAACTCCGCTCCTTGGTTTTCCGGTTGTAGTATCGAGCGTAACGAGCTCCCGACCTCGCGAGTTCCTCGTGGGCGATTTTGCACGTCTCCTCGAGGCGATTTCTGAGGTCGAGCACGTGTTCATAGGTGGTCCGGAGCTCTGCGTCGAGCTCGACGTTGGTCCACACCTCTCTCAGAATGGCTAGCGGGCCCCGGACGTGGCGACCGTACAACAATTCAAAAGGCGAAAAGCCGAGGCTCGCCTGCGGCACTTCCCGGTAGGCAAACAGCAATGCGGGCAAATACCGGTCCCAATCCTTGGGTCTCTCGGAGCACATTCGCTTCAGCATGAGTTTAAGTGTTCCATTGAACTTCTCCACCAATCCATTCGCCATGGGGTGGTAGGGGGACGTGTGCAACTGTCTTATCGACAGGAGCCGGCTGATCTCTTTCATTAGCTCGGAAGTGAAATTCGAGCCCCGGTCGCTTAATATCTCTCGTGGCATTCCGACCCGCGCGAACATCTCGACCAGGGCCTCTGCCACTCTTTCGGTTTCGATGCTGGGCAAAGCCACGGCGTCCGGGTAGCGAGTCGCGTAGTCTACCATTGTCAGTATGTACCGGTTCCCTCGGCCCGATGCCGGAGCCATCGGTCCCACGATGTCGATAGCAACCCTCTGAAATGGGGTATCTATTAAGGGGCTCCCACCCAGTGGGACGCGAGGGACCTTTCCTTTCGGTGTTGTTCGCTGGCACACGTCACACGATAGCACGAACCGCCGTACGTCCGAGCCCAATCCCGGCCAGAAGAACTCTTCCAGGATACGGCTCTTCGTTTTCGCCTGCCCCAGGTGTCCCGCCATAATGCTTTCATGGGCAACCTGCAGCACAGTTTTTCGGTAGGTCTGAGGCACCACGAGCTGGCGCGTCTCTCTCCCCGACCGCTCCCGGTATACTCGATAAAGAAGCCCTTGCCCCTCTCCGGTTGTATAAGTGATCGTGGCCGTCTTTCCCCTGGCCCTTTCCCCAATCCGCTTAAAGCAGGGGCGCAGGGTGTCATCCTCTTCCTGCTCCTTTGCAAAGCTCGGCGTGTCGATGGCCAGCCCTTCGATTTGAGGCACGTGTAGTTTTTTCAATCCAGTTTGTTTTTTCTTACTCTGGGTCCTGGTTTCCACGGCACACACCGGAGTTAGGGGATCTTCCACTTCCGCCCGGGTTTCGCGTCCTGGCTCGTCTTGGCCCTCCTGTGTGTCAAGTTCCGCCGGGTCCTCCTGAACTCGCCCTGTCGGTATCGGGTCGTCCCCCACCTCTACGTCAGTCGCGGGGTCGTCCGGTTCTCTAGCGCCGGGAATATTGCCGAGCACGAGGTCGTACAGGGGCCCGTCCATGCACAGGGCTTTGAGTCCTCCGTTGAAGTAGGGCGTTTTAACGTGGATATGGGCCTCGGGAAGCATTTTCACGGTTCCATCCACGAGATACACCGGCTTTTTGGTTCCAGTGAGGAGGCCGTCGTCGACCAATCCTCGTCTTACGATGACCGTGTTACTACCCGTGTCGCGCAGAACCGTTATCTTTTTCTGTCCGATTGTGCCCTCAACGACTGGCATTCCCTCGACCAG